TCCAAGGTCTTATGTCTTTTCTCTTGTGTGACACCCAAAACTGCATCGAAGATTCCAGCTGTGATCTAATCATTGTTCATTTATCACTCCCCTACATTTGATTCAGTGGCCATATTATAGGTACCTCTTTATTGACTTTTTCTATATGAAATCCCCAATTGCAATCAAGCGTGACTGCGTATTTGTAGATGTGACAGCTATTTTGCACACTGCAGGGTCCACAAACAGCCATGAAATAAATGATCAGTGTATCTAGCTAGATGATTGTTGACAGGATACTGGGAGAAACTCGCTTCTCTTTTTTAATTAAGTTTTGGAACATTGAACAAGCAGACTGCACTTTTATTTATGTTATTCTGAAGATGGCATCTCCCAACAATGGAGTGTTAGCCTAGACTAACATGGGGCTTGACCCCACAACCTTCTGACTCAGATGTGAGGCTACTAACCAAATCATACTAGTCACTCAGCTATTTAGTAGAAAATTCTACTGAAGCAAGCCAAAGTAATGTTTTTATGTTGGTTTTTTACATATATTTTTGGGTTAATATTACAGTAATGAATTTATCATGATATTTGTCGGTTTACTGCTGTAATATTAGCAGAGATTTTTCACAATTACATTACAACAAGTAGCTTATGGAAACTGGAGTAGACATAGACTTGGTGTTAGTGTAAGGGCTCTGTGTACCTAAATTCTTAAATGTGGGTGATATTAAATTCTTAGACGAGGCTAAAAACAAGAGGTAATTTGGGAAATTATGGGGTCCAATATGCAGTATTTCTTAATAAGGAATCCCATTAGAGTTTTTATCATCCAGCAGGTATTGTACTCCAGAAATCATATGTGGGTGAAGTTATAAAGATTTATATAGCACGGAAGCTATATAGAGAGCAGGGCACTCGTCCCAACCAGTCCATGACAGTGTTCATACTTCACACGAGTCTCCACCCTCTCCTTACTCCCTGCCACACTCTTCCATTTCACTTTTCTGTGGATCGACAGCCCTGTCTACCCCGCACACTTGCCTCGTACCACACACAACCTCCCCTCCCCTCCCCTGGTGCTGAGAGTGTGAAGGTGAAGAGTTGGTGTTTTACAGCCATAGCCCTCAGCTCCTAACCAAGTTCTTGGACATTGGTATTATGCAATTCCAATTTCTGGAAGCAGCACCCATATTCCTGATTCCTCATTAAGCAATCGTCTTAAGAGGTACTGCAAATTAGACCTTACAGTTTGCATGTTGAATTAATTTTTTTAAAAGTTTAACCTTGCTTGCTGTCAGAGAGGTTGAGAGAAAGGTATTGCAGTGACTAAAACTGATAGGGCATGAATGATGTGTGCACTTAAACCAAGCTAAAAATGTAGCAGAGGAGAAAAAAACAGCAACAATCTTTCTTTCATCAGACATCGCAAGCTGGCTGCTACATGATGTCATTGCCAGAAGCCATACAGCACTTTTATGTTTTAATGGAAGAGCTTTCACATTACTGGGCTCTATGATGGGAATGAGGTTGGAAGGTTCTGTAGCCCATATATAAGCTTCAGGCTGTTCATCCATTTGAGACATATAAGTGACAGCTGAAGCCAGTTAAACAGAATTATGGGACAACTGGATCTGAAGTCGACGGATGGTCTGTGAGAAGAAGAGTGGGTATTGGTGTATGCATGATCAGACTTTCTTTAATGGAGTCATGACACCAAGGTTATAATGGCGCAGGTAAACACATTTACAACAAGTGGCAGTCTGTAAATGGGAAAGTGAACTGTGACAATGGAACACGCTGGACTATTGATCATGAATGGCAAAACAGGTTGATCATGCGGCGTTCCAGCATTTGCTATTCATATCACACAGACATTAATTTATGTTTCCTTTACGAAACACATTTACTACTCCAACATCAAGACAATCTTCTCGTGTTATTCTAAGCTGGGCTAACCAGACTGCCTTTGATGCGTTAAGCAAAATGCACTTAAGAGCAAGCAGTGAAGTGGAATCGCATTAGATATCAAGGAACAGGTACATTGAGCTGAACAGCCTCTGTCTGTGATGATATTTGTAACAAGATAAGAAGGCAAATTTATCAGTACACTTTCGTTGATGGTGTAAAAATATTTACAATAATCCTTGTACAGTGGGAGCTGCTGTAACCAGCCGCTGTTAATTAATGCCCTTCCAGTCCAATGGGAATGGCAATGGAAGGGAGGAGGCGGGGCCACCGGCATTCCTCTGCTTAACCGGCTTCCACTGTATCTGATATGCACCTAGAATGTCGTCTATAGCATCTAAAGGACTTCACAGGTAACAACTGTGGTGTGTTGTGACTATTTGTGAATAGATATGGCAGCCAATTTGCAGCAGTGTGTTCCACAAACAGCCATGAAGTGAATGACCACTTTGTGTGATCATTTGAATCGTGCTTTGGGATCTTTAATGTCCACCTGAACTGGTGGGGGAGGTCCTCAGTTTTGTATCTCATCTGCAGGTTAACGCCTCCAATAATGTGGTCCTCTCCTAGTCCTCCACAAGTCAAAACAGTGTGAGGCAGCAATAAACAATAAAACTAGAATGATATTTCTGAATCAGCTGAGTTCAGATCCCTAGATGCTGTACTCAAGATGTGTCATGCTCTAGCCATGCTGAAGTACTGCATACCCTTCTGTTTGCCATGACATAAGGAGCTAACCAGGGCAGAGAAGAGCAACAAGGATGATCCCGGTCCAAGAGAAATGATCTATGATCAAAGATGAGACAAGCTAGGGAGGACTCCTTATTCTTGGAAAAGAGACATGGTGGAGGGGATCTTATGGAGATGTGTAAGACTTTAAATGGGATACTTTCAGATGCACTGGGTCAACAGAACAAGAGGATACAGGTTTAGGCTTGAAAGGCCAATTTCAAGGCAGACACCAGGAAGTATTTCTTTACTTGCTGAAAGCCCTTTGTGGTACTAACTGAAGACAGCAGCAGCAGGTTTGACTGTTATATCCTCCATATTCCATTGGCCCTTTGGCAGTCACAGTCTAGGGTTTGGCAGGAACAATGACAATCTGGGATAATCTGATGTGTTTCTTATTCAAGTGGATGAAAAATGAATTATCCTTGTCCTGTATTTCTGGGCTGGCCAGGACAAATGATCAATATTTTATGGAATAATATAAAAGTGAGATTAATTGATAACTGCGTGACCTTTCAAAGTCAAACACATCTTTACATAATTCATACTAAATGATGAGGTAATTTAGATTATGTATTAGAAGGTACTTTTTCAGGTCACTGGAAAACCCTTTGGAAACTGATTTATTTTTTAACAAAATTTGCAATTAAAAATGTTTTCCCTTTCATTATGTATAGCATTTCAGAGATCAGATTACATATAATGTGGTCTTTTGCGTTATCTTCTGACATTTAATTATGGAAATAATAAATGTGTCAAATTAATTGCAGTTTTTATATTTTTTAAAATATTTTATTATCTGCTGCACATCACCATGCCATGCATTACTGACAGGGTAATATGCCTACAAAGATAGATTTTCATCATTCAATTAGAAGATGGAAGGCTAGCTAATATTTGTCAGTATTACCCATCATCTTGCTCAAAATTGCATTCCGACATCTATAACAAAAAAAAATTTTTTTGGAATGAATCCATTTTACCTTGCGGTGAAACTTAATAAATTCACAAATATTAGAGCTCCAACATGTAAATCGTACAATCACTCCATGGCCGCATGCAAATTGGCTGCCATGTTTGCCTACAAAATACACAGTCAGCACTTTACAATAAAATCATGTGAAGTGCTTCGGTGACTTGATAAGGCTCTGTATCAAATGCAAGTATAATTATTATAAAGTCAAATTATGTGAGAAAATCTTCATGGAGGTATACTTAAAACCATTGTTGTAAATGTTTCGATCATTTTGCAGAATTTCTTGAATTGGAAGTTTAGAAGTACAGAAAGTTCTTAATTTAAAGATTAGCTCAGACACCTACCCTTTTTGAGAATTAGTTTGTGAGAGTTTTGCATTGCTATTTTCTAATTATAGGAGTTTTTATACATCTGCTTCTTTGATTTACTAAATGTTGAAAAGGACTTAAATCAGAATCATATTAAGTTGTGTTTTTATATTTAGAGATGGATACATTGAAGGCATTTTTAGTGAAACTGGAATAGCAGTTAGATGGAATATTTTTGCTCTGCTATTATAACCTCTGCTGATTCCAAAACATTTTGCACAATAAAAGCAACTAAATCTGTGGACAAACATTAGGTAATTGTTGCATTTGTTCAGCTCAAAATTGTTGGATCCTGTTACCTCTCTTCATTAAAGAATTTGTTCAGAACCAAAATACAATAGGCCAGACTGAGTGTCAGCGTTCAGACACCTTTGAACACATTGGGGTCTATTATGCAACTCATATAAACTAAAACTAAATGTTTCATTGATTGTTCATTCCCTAATTACAGGCTTGCATTTGCACATTGGTTACTTAACTCGCATAATCGCCCACACTTACACTTGGCTTGCACAACTTGCTTAGACCTCGTTGCCTGTTTTCATAAACATCTGTACATAAACCTGGCAATAGTTTATTTTCCGTATTTTCACAGGTCAGATCCTTTGGGGTTAATAGTCATGACACTTTTCAATTCTCATTTGTTACTGCAACACAATTCATTTTTTAATTATGATACATAAAGTATGGGTCATGATTCCTCCACTGTGAGTCATGTATAGTTTTAAAAAGTTTTGTATAAATAATCAAAGTTTGCTGTTAATATAATTGTTTGTGTGGTTCTTCATATACAGTTTGGAAGCAAATGCTGATAACTTGGTATGCCCAGTTTTAGTTAAAGAATTGCAACACTTGGTTAAGTAGTGTTGTTGAGAACTAAGCCACTGAATGCTAAGGCACAATAAAGCCCATGCTGATTCTTCTGCATTATTAAGTAGTTTGTAAAATTGTTTCTTCTCTTTCCATTGTCCTAGCATACTGATTTATGTCAGTACATGGATAAACACCCAGGAGGACTCCACCCAGAAAATGTGAAGGTAAGAATTACGATATGGATCCATAATGAATTATTGGCTTAAAGTAATAGAATTTTTCAAATTGTTTCAAGGAGTTCATGAACCATGACGCATGTTTTTCTTCACAAAGTCTGCTAAATCATGCAAGGAACCATAAATAGATATGCCCAGTGCGGGTTGACACTTCACATACAGTTTTTTAATTTGTGCCTTTGTTCAGTGGAGGCGCAGCGAGAGGGATGAGCTAACTTACCTGAATTAATGAGACTGAAGTACAAAGGAATATCACTTGTTTTGCAGTAACATTTGTGGCTAGCAGCAATGCAATTACTTTGAGCTTATGAAAAGATCTGTGTGCGAAACTACTCAATTTTGTGTACAGTATTTACTCAGTCCTAAAGCATCCAGAGAAAATACTAATCAATACAACTGTGGGACTCATTTCAGTTACACTTCAGCCTTATAACTGAAGTTGTTATTGTGCTGACTGGTAAACCTTTTGAGTCAGAGTTGTGCAAATTGTTTTGATATTAGTAATAATAATAATTCTTGCATTTGGTATGGAGCACTTCATGTCAGGAGGACAACCCAAAGTGCTTTGCAGGATTTTACTGTGAAGTGGAGTGACTGTGTATTTGTTTGACGAATCTGTTCCAGAGGATTGAATTCAGGATTCTCGTCCTCACATTAATGTCCTTAATGTTGCATAGCATTGTGAAATAAAACACAAGAAGTGAGTATGAGGTTACCACTTCTCCTGACTCTCTGTCTTCAACATTCCAAACGTCTAAAATGACCTTTCCATCAGGACTTTTTTTGCGGTATCATTTTATTTTCCATTGGTTCAGAACTGAAAATGTATAGAGGTGAAGACCCTTTAGAGGCAGCAATTGTGCAGGTATCCCAAGAACAGAGGTTCTTTTGTAATTGTTTGCGGTTTCCATGGGAGATTCCTGAACCAATTACGAATCGGTTTGTTCCCCATTTGACTGCTGAGGACAATGCATACCCCTGAAGGAAACTGAATCAGGACTACTAATAGGAAAGTTGGCCGAGACCCATCATACGATGACAGGGGTCTAGACATGCAGCAGTTTTTAAAGGGGGACAAAAAAGGGATTATTACAATGTTTGCCACTTATATTCCATTTTACTTTGTTGTGTGACCTTAAATGTTCGACTATATTTCCTTGCAATTCACTTTCAGCAGATGGTGTCATCTGATACAATCATAATATCCTTTTGCTAGTGATATGATTTATTGTTGTATTTTCTGACGTTAAATTCTTCTAATACCCTTTATTGAGGTAGCTTGATTCAGACATCATAGCAGAAAATGACAAACTTGTAAAACTAAAACTACTTGGCTATAATAATAATGATTCTTGCATTTGATATAATGCTTTTCACATCAGGAGGACACCTCAAAGCGGGATACATTGCAAAGTGTAGCTGTTCCATTTTTAAACCATTTATTGTTACATTTCCCTCTATCCAACAAAATGGTTGTTAATATGAAATGTTCCAGAGGATCCATTTCAGGGACCTCTCTTTTAAATCCCTCCATTGTCATGCCCCACCCCTACCTCTGTTACCTTCTAAAGCCCTTCCAACTGGTGCACAACTCGGCAGGCACTGACCTGCGCTACCTGCTCCACCATCTGTGTCCTGGAGTCCCTTCACCTCAGCCCTCCCTTGCCACATTCAAGGTCCACCTTAAGATCTTCCTCTTTGACCGTGTCCTTGGTCATCTTTCTACCTGTACCCTCCATCCCCCACTTCCCCTGAATCCAACCACCAGCTCAGTTGCCAAACCTCCATTGTCCAGCGCCTTGGGACATTCTCCCAATGTGAAAGGGGCTAAATAAATGCAATAGTTGTTATTTGTTGTGGTTTTTGTTACTCCCATCAGAATAACAGCATGGTTTACATACGTTACTTTTCAGTGAAGTGGTAAGATATATATTTTTAGAAATAGTAACAATCCTTGCATCTGGTATAGCACCTTCCACATGGGAAGGACATCCCATCGTGCTTCACAGGATTTACTGGGAAGTGGATGTGTATTTATAGATGAATGCAGCAGCCCAATTAGACACTGCAATGTCCTACATATAGCCATGAAACTAATTTTATTTGGGGGATTATTGGCCAGGACATCAGGAGAAACTCCCTTCTCTTTTCAAGTAGTACTATGGGATCTTTATTGTCCATCTGAGTAGGCAAACAGTTTAATATTTAATTTGAAGAACAGCACCTCTGACAATCTCACACACCCCAGCACTCAATTGGAGTGGCAGCTCAGACTATGTAGGGCCTGAACGCACAACTTTTTGACTCAGATGCAAGACTCCTACCAACTGAGCCAAGCTGACATAGATTGAATGTAGATAAGCAGAGTTGTGGATAGTTGGATTGCAGTTGTGAGTGACTCTATAGTTCACTTCTCCTGGTTGTCTTTTATGCTACATTTTCTAAAAATTTAGATTAATAAATTAATAAATAAAACACTCCCATTGCTCCTGTTTGTTTTCTAGCAAAGTATTTAATACAAGCAAAGTGTTTCGCTCACCCATTGTTTGTACTCTGTACAAGCAAAGAAGAAAAACATTATTAGAAATGTTTTATTGAGTTTCCCCATTTAAAAAAAAAGTTATTTGGGTCCCCATGTGACTATGTGAGAAATTCCTGTCTTGTCTGCAGTTAGTGAAGGGAATTGATCCACATTTAGAAAGATGGAATAATCAGACATACTGGCCCTTTTAGCAGAATAACCCTAAAGGAAACAGAATCAAAACTGCGTTTTAGAGAGCATCAGTACAGAGAATAGGCCGGTTGGGTCTAAAGTGTCAGCGGCTGTGTTATAAGTAAGTGACGTCAGTGAGGCTTCTTAACAGCGTTCTCCTGTATTTGATGGGTAAAATGGTTTTCTCATTTGTACACTCTATGCCTTACTAAATATTTTCTGTGAATTATTACTGTAGCTCAAATGGAGTCCTGTAGCTCAGTGGTTAGAGCACTCGCTTTGCAAGCGAGAGACCTGAGTTCAATTCCAGGCAGGGAGAAACCTTGGGCAAGTTTCCTTACTCCACACTCCTAATAATAATCCCTCCAAAACCAAAAACAATAATAAAATAAAATTGTTCATTTTCAATCTACAACTGTTTGTGGGACAATGCTGTGCGCAATTGGCTGCCGCGTTCGCCCACAAATATACAGTCAATTCACTTTACAGTGTGTTCTGTGAAGTGCTTTGGGACGTCCTCCCGACATGAAAAGCGCTATATCAAATGCAAGGATTATTATTATTATTTTAAGGTTAATTGAAGTCAATTGCCAGATGTATGAAATCATGACATACAGAAACAAAATGCAAAATAAGTGTAGGAGGTGTATCCTGCAAGACCATTTTTTTATTGGTACGTTTTGTTTTAATTGCTGTTGCTGTATATGTACATTAAATAATTGATTGCTGGTTTTGATACACAAAGATTTTTATGTGACAGATGTAGAAACCATAGAAAAGAATAGGTTTACATTGCACCGATATCTGTGACATCTGATTACAATATTTGCAGTGCTTTAATATGGAACAGATGGGCGAAAACCACCAGTGAATCTGAAATGAATTAACACTTCCAGAACATGTCTAGCAAAACTATCGCTTTCAAAATATCTGTATGGGACTGTAAGTTATTTTTCTGCCACAGCTGTTATGCCAATCTATTACACCCTAATGTGAGTGTTGGTATCTTGTGAAATGTTAAAACAGTGAAGCAGCAGGAGGTACATTGTGATAAAACTACAGTACATTGGAGAATGTATAACAATATAACTGATTGTTCTTACTAGTTGTTATCTCAGTTAGTCAGTCAGTCAGTCAGTCAGTTTGGAACAGATGGATCATATGTGGCAAGTTGGAAACTCAGCAATTCAGGCTTCATTTGGACTACACCAGCACAAAGCAAACACTATCGGATCTTTGTTATTCATTTCTGATTGGGGAGCACTGTGGTTAAGCATGTTAGATCTCTCAGTGATGAATGAAGTGTAGGTTTGAACCCCACTCAACTGAGGTCCCGATGTAAGCCTACTGCTTGAGGGCAGGTCGCCTAATGCTGACTCAATGGAACAATGGAATGCATAGTGAAATTGGAGAAAGTGTTATCACCAGAGTGTTCTTGTGCATTTCTTGGCTGCCAATTTGACGCTGTCATCGTCAAAAGTTTGTGAGATAGTTTTGACCAAGTGTACGTTTCATAGTCAACCCGTGTATGGCTATGAGAGACTAGAAAAATTAAAGAAAATAAGAAGACACAACCGTGAAATAATATTAAGCAAATACTTTTGATATAGCACCTTTTTTTTATCGTCAGCCAGATATCGTTTTTCAAATCCCTTCATCCCCTCATAGCTCCTTACGTATTTAATTTAGTTACCCCCCACTCCACCACCCACTGCCTCTGCTCGGCTGGCTTCGGCCTCTCATACCCTTCGCTCCACCATCGGCGACTGTGTCTTCAGCTACTGAAACCCTGGAACTCTCTCCCTCAATCCCTCTGCCTTGACTCCTCCCTCCCCATTTTCAAATTACGCCTAAAGACCTTCCTTTTTAATCATGGTTATGGTCACCTCCCCACTCCCTCGGCTCGGTGTCAGACCTCCACCACTGTCATGCGCTCCGGGACGCTACCCAGTATGAAGTGCACTATATATTGTTGTTGGACATTAAAGATCCCATGATAATACAGTCAAACTTGTTCAAGCAACCTTCTCCATGCAGCAACCGCTCTCTGCTAAAACACAGTAGACAGCCTGGTTCACAAACCAATGAACCTTTATTCAGAGACCACCCTTATATAAAGTTATATGTCCCTTTATAATAATAATCCTTGCATTTGATATAGTGCTTTTCACGTCTTCTAGACGTCCCAAAGCGCTTCACAGAATAGACTGTAAAGTGAATTGACTGTATATTTGTGGGCGAACGCGGCAGCCAATTGCGCACAGCAGTGTCCCAC